CATATTTCTCATTACCAAATAAAGATATTCATACAAAATTTGGCTCAAATATTGCTTTTGTATACATAAATGATACTGTAAAATTTGTTTACGATCGGTCCATAATTGGTCGTAGTTCCCATACAATGTCCCCTTTCGAGAATCACTTAAACGCATATTACTAATTACTAAATAATGATATTCATAAAATATTTGTCACAAATATTGTTGAATTTTGTCAGACATATAGTTTTTGGTACGGTGATCCACTGTGTTAAAAATCGAAATCGGTCCACAATTTCTTGTACCACCCATAGGGACTCAAAAATGTATTATTTTTCGCAAAAAATTAAATAAAAAGTGTCCATGACGAACAGGGTTTGAACTTAAGATTTCTCAGTTGCCAGTTCTACGTCATACCCACCACACTATTATCTAGCTTCGTAATTGTTTGCAATTAATGATGTTCACATAGAAATTGTCTTTCCTGTTTGTGTAAAAAATTGTTGCTAAACCACGATCAAATAAAATGTACACATTGAGAAAGTGTAACTGTTTAATTTTTTATGCTATTCAGCAACATCAGTGTTAATAAAAGTTATTCAGCAGCAATGTTTTGTATAAACAGGAAATAACACGGCATTTTTATATGAAAAATATTAGTTAACGAAAGACAAAATAATGATGTGGTGCAATGGATGAAATAGAGAATTAACAAACCGAGCATCGCCGGTTCGATTCCTGGTCGATTTAAATTTTTTTGTCATAAATAATAAACATTTTTAAAAATCCAATTAAATGTGTAACTTTTTCTAAAAACATTTGATTTCTGATTAGATTTAGCCACGTATGACCGTCTGTCGATTCATAATTCTTTTCACGATCAAATTAATAATCTTTGGCCAAAATTTTGATTATATTCTTATGTAGCTTGGCATTGAATATTGAAAAATTCGGCTCAACAATAAAAATTTTAAAATAACATTTTTTGACAACATTGAAACAAAATCTTGTTTTTTTTAATTTTTTTTCATAGGATCAACAATATTGAAAATCTATCGTTTTAAAATTAATCATATTGCCATACATTTTTCCCACACATTGAAATTATTTTAAATACATAACATACGTTAACATTTGTTACATTTAGTACGCTCTTTAACAGTCTGTTAAGTGATAGTTTTGTTATACCCACCATCAAAAAAGATGGGGGGTATATTGTTTTTGTCATTCCGTTTGTAACACATTGAAATATTCGTCTAAGACCCATAAAAGTATATATATTCTGGGTCCTTATTAGATTCAAAAACGATCTAGCCATGTCCGTCCGTCTGTCCGTCTGTCTGTCTGTTGAAAACACGATAGAGTCCAAATGGAAGCAGCTAGCGAGCTGAAAATTTGCATAGATACTTCTAGTTGATGCAGTTTGTTTGGTATTGAAAATGGGCAATATCGGTCCACGATTTCGCCTAGCCCCCATATAAGGCCTCCTCCAGGTAATGACTTTATCGCTCATAACTGGCTAAGAGATGCATCAATAGCGGTGAAATTCGGCACAAACATGTTTAATGAGAACTTCAATTTCTTTGTAAAATTTTATAAGAATAGGTCCATAATTGACCCTACCGCCCATATGAAGTCCTCGTCAAAAATTGACTTTATTGCCCATAACTGGCTAAGAGAAGCATCAATAGCGGTGCAATTCGGCAGAAACTTGTTTTATAAGAACCTAAATCACTTCATAATTGACCCTACCCCCCTTTAATGCTCTTATCTGACGTTAAGAAACATATATACATACATATATATAGCAATAAAATTCGACATAAAAAAGTTTTATAGGAACTAAAATCATTTTCTTAAATTTTATGAGGATGGGTCCATAAGTTTATTACTGACGCGAAAATGTGAGTACAGCAGTAAAATTCTACATAAACAAGTTTTGTGCGAGCCAAAAATTCTTTATCAAATTATATATATAAGGATCGGTCCTTAATTAACCCTATCCCCCTTGTAAGGTCCCCTTCAGAAAATGACTTTAAAGATCATTACTAGCTTAAAACTGCAAGTGCAGCGATGAAATGCTTAAGCCCTTAATAATGGCCCTCTTCCAAATATTTCCCTGATGTTTATGTTAATACCGACATATGATTCAACATAGATCGATAATATCAAAGTTTATTTATAAGGATGATTTGATGGTGGGAATATAAGATTCGGCATGGCCGAATATAACACTCTTACTTGTTTTTAATTGCATATGTAAGGCGTAATGTAAAATGTTAAGGTAAATTTGAATCAATCCATAAAATTTGATAAATTACGCAACCAGTTTAAGGTGGAGGGTATTTAAGATTCGGCAAAGCCGAATATAGCACTCTTACTTGTTTAGCATTTTTTTTAATGAATAATTAAAAGATTTGACGTCCTAGATATTTTAAATACATACTTTTTCTGGTCTTAGACGTCCTAAACAAAGAAAACCATATAGGTTTTATATCCTAAACAAAATCGTTGTTACCTAGTGTTATTTGTTATTTAATATACATATATATGTATATACTTATTCTTTGGGTCATTAAACAAATTTTCGAACAGGTTTTGTACCTTACCCTTTCCGATTTTGATAAAACTTGGTACACACATTCTTTGTATCAATACGAAGTTTAAAGTTCTTCAAAATTTCAAAATTCTTTACGGTTTAGATTTTATCAAGGTTCAAAGTTCAAATTTTTTAAAATTTTTTTCAACAAGCATTAAATTTGACATCATATATTTTATAAAATATTTATCGTTTTAGTTCCTAATTTGACTCAAACGGTAATTTTTTTAATTATGTTAGTGAAAAAACTCACATGTATATATGTGGTGTGAGTTTTTTTTTTAAATATAAAAATTTCAGAATGGGACAATGAGGGGATCTCAAGTAAATCAACTTTTAGTAAAATAATTCACATCATTTCCATACAAATTTCAAAAAGTTTAATTTTTTGTTCATAAACAATTTAATTTTTGTTTCAAATTCTTAAACTTTTTTGTGTTCATCATCAAATAAAACATTAAATTTGTAAATATCTTGAATATTATCAAGCTACAAGACATAGGCTTTCATTGGGAACTAAAACGATTAAAATCGGATAAACAGTTCAGAAAATATACGATGTAAAATTTAAAGCTTGTTGAAAAAAATCCAAAAAAATCCCCTTGTAAGGTCCCCTTCAGAAAATGACTTTAAAGATCATTACTAGCTTAAAACTGCAAGTGCAGCGATGAAATGCTTAAGCCCTTAATAATGGCCCTCTTCCAAATATTTCCCTGATGTTTATGTTAATACCGACATATGATTCAACATAGATCGATAATATCAAAGTTTATTTATAAGGATGATTTGATGGTGGGAATATAAGATTCGGCATGGCCGAATATAACACTCTTACTTGTTTTTAATTGCATATGTAAGGCGTAATGTAAAATGTTAAGGTAAATTTGAATCAATCCATAAAATTTGATAAATTACGCAACCAGTTTAAGGTGGAGGGTATTTAAGATTCGGCAAAGCCGAATATAGCACTCTTACTTGTTTAGCATTTTTTTTAATGAATAATTAAAAGATTTGACGTCCTAGATATTTTAAATACATACTTTTTCTGGTCTTAGACGTCCTAAACAAAGAAAACCATATAGGTTTTATATCCTAAACAAAATCGTTGTTACCTAGTGTTATTTGTTATTTAATATACATATATATGTATATACTTATTCTTTGGGTCATTAAACAAATTTTCGAACAGGTTTTGTACCTTACCCTTTCCGATTTTGATAAAACTTGGTACACACATTCTTTGTATCAATACGAAGTTTAAAGTTCTTCAAAATTTCAAAATTCTTTACGGTTTAGATTTTATCAAGGTTCAAAGTTCAAATTTTTTAAAATTTTTTTCAACAAGCATTAAATTTGACATCATATATTTTATAAAATATTTATCGTTTTAGTTCCTAATTTGACTCAAACGGTAATTTTTTTAATTATGTTAGTGAAAAAACTCACATGTATATATGTGGTGTGAGTTTTTTTTTTAAATATAAAAATTTCAGAATGGGACAATGAGGGGATCTCAAGTAAATCAACTTTTAGTAAAATAATTCACATCATTTCCATACAAATTTCAAAAAGTTTAATTTTTTGTTCATAAACAATTTAATTTTTGTTTCAAATTCTTAAACTTTTTTGTGTTCATCATCAAATAAAACATTAAATTTGTAAATATCTTGAATATTATCAAGCTACAAGACATAGGCTTTCATTGGGAACTAAAACGATTAAAATCGGATAAACAGTTCAGAAAATATACGATGTAAAATTTAAAGCTTGTTGAAAAAAATCCAAAAAAAAAAATATGAAATTTAAACATCGATAAAATCTGGACCGTTACGAATTTGAAAATTTTGGGGAACTTTAAATTCCGTATTTACATGAAGAATGTGTGTACCGAATTTCATCGAAATCGGGGAGGGTCATATTCAAAATCCTACTTTTTTGTTTGAATTTTTTTTTAAATTACCCCTCATCGATTTTGTAAAGGGATATTTGAAATTTGAAATATTTGAAATAGTCTTTTGCATTTTCGTTGAATTATGTGAAAAATTGCGACCTGTACATTATACCTGGACAGTCAGCCGCACAGACGGGTAAACGTGGCTTAATGGACTTTTAAAAACTTGATTTGAATTTAGCACTTTTTTCAACGAATTTGCACTTTTTTGACCGTCATTTTGCACTTTATTCTGAGGGAGTTCATGCAACACTGGATGTATCAGACTGCAGTTTATGACGCAGAACCTGAAGCGGTATCATATCTTCATCATCCCAGCACGATGCAGTTCTTGGCCACAATGCAGACCAGCTTTTCTGAATATTTTTTTTCGCTAATGCTTTGCCATGTTAAGTTCAAGAAATAAACAGCATCTTTAAGGCTAAACATTTTTAAAGCTTTAATCACGTCGACGTCATCATCATTTTCTTATAAAATATGCTGCAGTAATTGTTTTCTGTAAGTAACCTTTACATTTTGTATTAAATTTTGGTCCATAGGCTGTAATATTGCCGTACAATTTGGTGGTAAAAAAAGAACTTTGAAATTTTGGTCAAAATTAATTTCATCCGTTTTAGGATGTGAAGGAGCATTATCTAATATCAATAATGCTTTGAGTGGTCTGTTAACCTGTGTTAGAAACCCTTTTACTTCTGGAATAAAATGGTTTTTGAACCAGTCGAAAAAAAGGGACGTTGACATCCATCCTTTATTAGATGCTTTATATACCACTGGAATTTTATAACCTTTAAAGGCTCTTGGATTAGCAGATTTGCCAATAACCAAAAGAGACAGTTTATGTGTTCCTGCAGCATTTGAGCATGGCATAAATGTCACAAGATCTTTGGAAATTTTTCTCCCTGGAGCTGATTTTTCCTTTGTATGCACCCATGTGTTACCAGGCAACACTCTCCAGAATGCAGCAGATTCGTCTGCATTATAAACTTGCTCTTTACTCAAATCCATCTCAGCAACAATGTCGGCAAACTTTTTTTTAAAAGGCTCTACGGCGCTTTCATCGCTGGAAACTTTTTCACCACAAATTTTTAGATAACGAATACCATGCCGTAACTTAAATTTATCTAACCAGCCTGATGTCGCTGAAAAATCTTCTTTTCCCGTCATCTTTGCATAAAAGAATTTGGCCTTTGCTTTTAAAATTTCTGATGAAATCGGGATATGATTGTTTCTATGCTGCAAAAACCATGTGTAAAGCGCATCCTGTAACTCTGGATTTTCTGATTTTTTCATAACTTTTCTATTTCCTAAAAAAAAATATTTTATGAAATTATTTTCGTTCAAATGTTACCGAGTCCATTATAGGTATTCGAAATAAATTGTTTTATATTCTCCTTATTTTTTTTAATGTCGCAAATCGTAGATTTAGGAACATGGAATTTTTCGGCAACCTGCCTAATAGTTTTTCCCTCATCAAGACTTTGTAAAATATTTAGTGTTTTATGTTTCCGTTTATTATTTAAAGACATGGCACTTAAGTAAACAAACATATTTTTTGCAAGAAAAAAGAAAAATAAGCACGACTTACATTGAAAAAAAAAAAAAAAAAATAACAAGTAGGACCGAGCAAAAAAGAGAAATAAACGCATCATAGAAAAGCACAAAATTGTTGTTTTACCAATCTTTGCACATATTCTTATTTCATTCTTACATGCAAAAACACGAACACTCTCAATCTCGACATTTTACATTTATTTATCAACAGAACTATAAACAAATTTTTAATTTCATTTTAGAATGCTAGTGCAAAATAAAACTTTATGCTCTTTCAGTTGTGAGATTTTTACAAACAGTTTATTTCTCAAAAATGTCCATGTGCATGAAAAAAAGTTTTTCTTGTTATCTCAATATTGTACAAAAATAAAAAACATTACTAATAGTATCATGCAAGAATGAATAAAGCAAAGTTTTATTTTTGTTTGTTTTTGTACACGAATGGAAGATAACAAAACAAAATTTATTTGTTTTTTTCATGAGCGTGAGTGATAAGTGAATGAATATTTGGAACCCTGCTTTTTACTTTCAGCTTTATTTTTTGTGGACTGTATTTTTCTATCAATATAGCCGTTTCTTTTTTTAAAGGCTCGATTGGACCAATGTTTATTTAGGGGTTAGAAGGAGATGGGTACTTACGCGGGAATTAGAGGAAGGGTAAATAAGAAAGGCTTGGGATATTTTCTTAAACGTTATAAACCTTATGTGTTTATTGAACTTTTGGTAAATAGGGTAAGTATTCAGTATATAACTCTATTATTAGGTTAAGTTTTATGTGCAAAATTAAGGTAAGTACTTTAGGTTAGTTTTAGGTTTTAATATTTCTTTATTTATTAAGTTCACAAATTTTAATAATTATTGTCAATTCACTATACTTTTAGGGTTTTTAATACAATTTTTAATTATATTATTTTAAGTATTTTATTCAATATTTTATTTTTTATATAGTTTAATTATAATGAGTTTCAATATTTCGCAAATAAAAGTAATTTTTAGTTTACAATTTGGATTTTTAATGTTTTAACTTTAGTTTTAAGTTGTAGGGTGTAGGAAAACAGAAAACCGCACTTAATGTTTGTCTTCAGACAGACTGATTAGAGGTAAGATAAAAGAAAAAGTGTAGAGCTGCAGTTGACATTTATGCAGAATGAAGTTGGCTGCAGTTTGGTGTGGGTGTTATTGGACATCAGGGATGGTAACGTTCAATTGTTCACTGATGTGAACATCATGTTTCTAGCTAATAACAACGAAACGTAACGTGATGCTCATTCTTTGCTTTGTGTTTATAAACAAGAAATTACAATAACAAAAAAATTTACCATTTGATACTATGTTTTGTTTGTTTATTGTTTCTGTATAAGCATGTACGAAAAATGTAAATTTTTTATGAAATTTCGTAGAGGTGGTCTCGGATTTTTACTCACATCTTCGTAATTTATGGGCCGGTTTTGCTGATTTTAAATAGCGTTCTATATTGAATTATCTTCAAAATTGCGACCTGTAGTTTGATTACAAGCCCTATTCAGGGGTTCAGAGGTATGGGGGTTAGGTGAAATAATGGACCGATCTTACATAGCTAAATCGACTCCTAGGACCAATATTATTATACCCTCCACCACCACCAGTGGTGATAGAGGGTATATATAACTTTGTCATTCCGTGTGTAACACCCAGAAATATTCATCTGAGACCCAACAGAGTAGGTATGTATGTATATTCTTGGACCTTTTGGAAATTCTGAGTCGATCTACTTAGCTATGTCCGTCTGTCTGTCTGTATAAAACATTCTCACGATAACACGAAGCAAAAGAAATTAACCAAATTCACGAAAAATATCTATTATTGTCCTAGACAGTTTGGTATTGAAAATAAGCAAAATCGGTTCACATCGGAAAAAGTAATGAAGTAATGAATTTTACATATTCTAGTGTAATTTTCAAAAAAACTGTGCAATATAACTCCATGAAAATTATCGCACATTTGTTTCTATACAAGTGCTTTATTCTTGTTGAAAATTGGCGGAATCGGTCCACAATTTCATATACCTCCCATACTAATGTACATATTCCCAGAAAATGAGTTTTTTGTTAATAACTTCCGTTTGAATGTCGATATCTTCACAAAATTTCACAAATTAAAGTCTTGTCAGAAGAATTCATCCAAATAAAAAAATTTAAGGATCGATCAATTGGTCATAGCTCTCATACACTCATTACCAATTTAAAATTGGTAATGAGTGTATGAATTTTAAAATTTTTTCACGATGGGTCCATATTTGGTCATTGCTCCCATACAAAGTCCCTTCCCGAAAATCACTTAAACGCACATAACTCATTTCTAAATTAAAATATTCGTACAGAATTTGGTGCAAGTATTGCTCTTATATACAGAACTAGCTATACCCAGTGTGCTTCGCTACCCTCATCGTAATGGAATAAAATAAATATTATTGTAAATGTATATATATCTGCAATATCAAAAAGTCCCCTATTAAAATTTATGTTTATATATTCAATATTTTAGAAAACTCAAGAAGTACCAATGAAGTACGAAAAAGTACCAAAAGACCTCTTTTATTTAATTTCATGTTCAATATTATAGAAAATTCAAAAAGTACCTGTTGAAGAACGAAAAATTACCAAAGGGCCCCCTTTTATAGATTCTCATTATCTTCGGACTCCACATGGTTAATTTCATGTTATAAAAAACACAAAACGTACCAGTCGAAGGACGAAAAAGTACCAAAAAGTCCCCTCTTATAGATTCTCATTTACTCTAGGCTCTATATGCTCAATTTCATGCTTCTAGGATCAATATTATAGAAAATTCAAAAAGTACCTTTTGAGGAACGAAAAAGTACCAAAAAGTCCCCTTTTGTAGGTCCTCACTTAATCCGGGCTCTACATGTTTAAGTTCATGTTTCTAGGTTCAATATTATAGAAAATTCAAAAAGTACCTTTTGAAGAACGAAAAAGTACCAAAAAGCCCCTTTTATAGATTCTCGTTTACTACGGGCTCTACATGCTTATTTTCATGTTTCTAGGTTCAATATTATATAAAATTTATAAAGTACCTTTTGAAGAACGAAAAAGTACCAAAAAGTCCCATTTTATAGATTATCATTTACTACGGGCTCTACATGCTTATTTTCATGTTTCTATGTTCAATTTAATAGAAAACTCAAAAAAGTACCAGTCAAAGTACGATAAAGTACCAATAAGTCCCCTTTTATAGATTCTAATTTACTCCAGGTTCTACATGATTAATTTCATGTTTCTAAGTTCAATTTTATAGAAAACTCAAAAAGTACCAGTCGAAGGACGAAAAAGTCCTCTTTTATAGATTCTCATTTACTCCGGACTCTATATGCTTAATTTGATGTTTCTAGAGTTAATTTTAAAGAAAACTCAAAAAAGTACCTGTGTAACATCCTATTAGGTATTTAGTGTTTCTAAGTTTAAAAAATTTATCTAAATTGGATCATTGTGTTTGAATAAAATCAATTTTCCCGTTTTTACCCCTTTTGGTACTTTTTTCTACCCATTAACGAAATAAAAATTCTATTCCAAAATGTTGCAACATCGTAGTGGGAGCCCGTTTTTATGTATTTATATGTATAAGTTAATAAACCAAAATCAATGTTTTATGAAAAAAGTACCAAAAATAGGTACAATTTTCACCCCTTAAACATCCGAATAACCAAAAAGTACTAAATTTATATTTTTATTTTTTCGTCAAGTTATGAAGGAGTCAAAAATATTGTTTGAATGTTCACTGGTTTAAAAGATACATGGGGTGCAAAAAAAAGTACCAAAATACAGTTTTTACCCGTTTATTCCCTAAAGGGGCCGAATTTGGAAAAAGTACCAGACACCTGTCCAATAATTTTTTAAATGAACGACGATAAGCTTTAAACTGTTTTTGTATCTTGTTTAGTTTAGGAGATATGAGGTTACCGAATTTACCCGTTTTTACCATTTTTTAACCCCTAAACATTCGAATTTCCAAAAATCCCGTCTTAGTGGATCTGTTTGGTGGGAGACCAACCTCCTGTCCAAATTTCAGCTCTTTAGCTTTAACCGTTTAGGCTGTGCGATGATGAATCAGTCAGTCAGTCAGTCAGTCAGTAACGTTAGAATTTTATATATATAGATTGTTACTGTGAAATTTATTTCGATCAGTCCATAATTGGTCATAGCTCCCGTACAAGGTCCCCTCCAAATATTGCACTTATATACAGAAATATTACTGTGAATTTTTTTTTCGATCGGTCCATAATTGGTCACAGCTCCCATACAAGGTCCCCAACCGAAAATCATTTAAACGCACATAACTCTTTACCAAATGGTGATACTCATAAATTATTTGGCATAAATATTATTTTTGTACACATAAATGTTATTTCAAAATTTTTTCACGATCGCTCCATCCTTGGTCATAGCTCCCATATAAGGTTCCCTCCCGAAAATCACTTAAACGCACATAACTCATTACAAAATATTGATATCCATACATTTAGCAAAAATATTGCTCTTATATACATAAATTATACTATCAAATTGTTTTGCAATCGGTCCATATTTGGTCATAGCTCTCATACTAGGTCCCCTCCA